GCTATTGGCTAGGTGTGTGTGTTTGTTTAGATGTATTCTAAGCCAGTGTGTTGGGATCTCTAAGGGTACTGTAGGGGACTAGTGAACCCATGTGTGCTTAAGTCTGTGATACCTATGATACAAGTGCCCTTCAGGAAAGTAGTCTTTACCCTAGTTGCAATTGTAAACCTTGCATCTTGCTTATGTGGACCTAGGTATTTAACATAAGGTAGAGTGGTAAAGTGATTTATTGTATTTATATATATGGGGGTTATTAGAGCGTTTAATAAATAAGGATAAAGCTAGGAGTATCATTTCATCCTGTTTAGAGTGGAGTAGGTGACTACCTTAGATGGCAGACATTATTCTAGCCAAACAAGTATTCATTGCTGGGAATATTCTTTCCCTGGGGGCCGGGGCTTACCTATTTACACTATTTTAGGAACCCCTGTGGTTTTTACAATTGGCCCTCTCAGTACAACCACCTGCCACCATAACAGTCAGCTTTATAAAGTTCTGCATAAGTTAATATTGACATGTTTACCCTGGCTGTAACTGTGAGAAAACAAAATACTGTACTGATATATCGTCATTATTGATGGTTTGAATATTAAGTAAAATCCTTCACAATAAGAGGTATATCAAAGGTAAGAGCTGTAGAAATTGAGCCTTTGAAACTGGAACTCGGTTGACTTATTATGAATTAAAAATATTTAAAATAAAACCGAATAAATCCCACATCTACCTTTTCAATTAAAATAGTATACTTAATGGTGAAAGTAAACAACATTGCTAAAAGGCAAGACAATAAATTGTGTAAACTATTATATATCTATATAAATAAAAATGGAAATGCTCGTTTGTTCAAAATCAATAATCTCCAAAAGTTCTTCACCGATTGCATTGAAGTTTTCACACAATGTTCCATGCACATCCGGCCAGGTTTTTATATACATACTGTATAGATGTCACGTGAGTGCCAGTAAGAAAACATGCTTTTTCTGAAAAACTGTGTTTTTCATGTGAGGGAAATCTTTGAAACCTCTTTACCGATTGCTTTGAAATTTTGACACAACGTTGCATTCGAATAGGCACGTCTTTTTATATATCTACTATATACATGCCTAACCTGTAACAGGAAAAAACAAGTTTTTTTTTTTAAAACAGCGCCATCTATTGGATGTAAGAGCAACACACGCTGTAATCTCCGAAAGTTCTTCACCGATTGCTTTAAAATTTTGACACAACGTTGTATTCGAATAGGCGCGTCTTTTTATATATCTATTATAAAAATGCCACCACTATGACAGATAAAAACATGCGTTTTTGAAAAACAGCGCCATCTGTTGCACATAATAGAAACATTCACGCTATACTAAATATGTCATGAATTCCATTTCAATGTTTCTGATTGCATTGATAAATTTAATTTTCATAGATTTCAATTTATTTTATTTTTTTTTATTTAATTATTTTGTGAGACATTGTGTAGCTTTTGAGCTGTATTGTTTACCATACCGTTCATTTTGTAAGTATATGTATAGGTGTCAAACCTGTGACAGGTAAAACTATGCTTTTCTTGACAAACAGTGCCATCTGTTGCATGTAAGAGCAACACACATGCTATACTATATATGTTACAATTCCATTTCTATGTTTATGATTGCATTGATAGATTGAATTTTCATAGATTCTGATTTATTTTCATTTTGATTTAATTATTTTATGTGAATTGCATTGGAATTGACCTGTATTGTTTATCATAACATTCATTGCATGAGTATAGTTTTTTTCATATTTTCATTTAATTTTTTAACTGTTTTAATTATATTTCAGTGATGGGAACATCATTTCACTTGATGTTCCCAATTTTCTAATGGGAACATCAGACCATTTGGGAAGGCATCGGACGAGAGAGTGGGGAATGGTGGGGATGACAAGGGGACGGAAGTGAGAGATGGTTGGGAGGATGAGGGGACAAGGGAGAGGGTAATGGTGGGGAAGGACGAGGGGATGGGGGAGATTGGGGTGGTGGGGACGAGGGGATGGGGGAATGGAGAATGGAGGAAAGGTCAAAGGAACAGGGGAGTGGGGCATGGTGGGAAGGAAGTGGGGATGGTGGAGTGGGGAATGGTTGTGAGACCGAGGAGACAGGTGAGGAGAAAATGGTGGGGAGGAATCGGGGACAGGGAAATTTGTTGTGGCTCAGCAACGCACATGCGTTACTGAGCCACAGCAACGCATGGCCGGGTAACGCATATATATATATATATATATATATATATATATATATATATATATATATATATATATATATATATATATATATATATATATATATGAATGTTCTCTTGAATATTTTACCCTGTTTTATGTAATTATTTTTTGTAAATACATAATTATTTGCATTACTCTAATCAGACGTTTCTTTACTTCTTCTGGAATTTCCCTTGGTGTAACACGGGTGGGGCTTCGTTCTTATTTTAAACTTCTTTAACCTTCACCCCCGTTTGTAATCTTTATTCACTTACTCAAACCAAGGGACCCCAGAGCTATACTTCAGCCGACCCCATGCCACGTGGTCTTAATTAAACCGTTTGACCGACTTAAGATTCTACAACACTTATGATGTGAAAACAGACTTCTAGCAAAAGTCTAGAATCACCTTGCGCTGTCACCACCAGACCATTACCACTGAGCAATAACCGAGGTCTGGATCGATCATGCTAATCAATAAACCTTGGGGCTTGATCCCCCACTAGTAATATATAGGAGGGATGAATTTTACTTTAAAAGTGCGGAATTATTAAAATCAAAGGGATAATGAATTCTTACGTGATGTTAGAATCTGCGGCCCAACTCAACAGGTGCTCTCAGGTCCCTACACGCGGTTCCAATTTCCCACTCTCCCATGCATAGATAGAACATTCTGGATCATTCCTACAACAACTAGTTTGTTACATTGGCTTAGAAGGCTAGATCAATCATACATCCATATATAAACAAGTAAATTAAGTGTAACTGTTTGACCAGAGCAGTAGCCTAGGGGCATGACCTAACTTATGATTAGATATTAAGGGACAGGCTGTGACAGAGAGTAAAACATCAACAACATATACAAGACCATATACACAGGAACGGGTACCAGACTCTACAAGTGTAACATGATTCAAATCAGTGAAAATTTACATTTCTCAACCTCACTCATCTGAGTCATGTTTTTTTTCGTGGAGATTAACGTCTTCATTCCGTCTCAGTAAATTTGTCTGTGGAGATTTTAGGGTTTCTTTCGAGCATTCCTAGATTCCGATGATGTCATCTGCCAGTCTTCATCCTCCCTCAATCAGTCAGTCTTGAATGATTACATATTCAATCCCATTTTCACTTATTAAATATGTAATCCCATTTTAAATGATTTCATATTTATTCCCATTTTAAATGAATGCATATTTATTCCCATTTTAAATGAATGCATATTTATTCCCATTTTAAATTATTAGCTATTTTCTACCAATTAACTAGTTGAGGGTTCTTTATTGAATACAAAAAATAATGAAATCAACAATCTCACTATATACACACTATATAGAACACTATCTCCTATTTGTTTCCACCCATGTTGAGCCAATCATTAACTGCTACCAAGAAATTAAATATACTGAGAAAGGTTTAGTCATAAGAAGCAAGGAAATAACACAAAGTTTATAAACCTGTGTTTACCCAAGTCTTTCCTAATGTTAAATAAATGTCCTATATATATATATATCCCCTCAACATTCCCTTCATCTATTTACACACTTTACTCATCGCCTAACTACAGAATAGTTTACTTTGTTTAAATTACTTTTAGTACCTAGTAACAAAAAACAAATTAATTTGTGAGAAATATTGTTGTGTTCCCAGCATCAGATTGCATATATGTAACTAATATTTTTTAGTGTATACTCAAAGATCGTTTATTAAGCATAATAATGAATGATACTGCCCATTTTTATTCTAATCCACCTTAATCATTGAAGCATATAACACGTAGTTTGGACCTACAAGTGCATTACTTATTTGGTGTTAACATCTAAGAGTCCCTACAAGATTATGAAACATGCCATGTTTAGATCTCCAAGCTGGCAGCAGGCACATGTATTGTAAACATATATATAAAATGCCCAATAATAACACATTTCTATTAACCTTTAGGTAATACAGGTTAGATTGGGATGGGATGGGTTTGTTTTACTGATGTAAATCCAATGACCAAAACAACACATTGCTAAGAATATGATGCAATATTACAAAGATCCTGATATCGGAGGTTAGGTCCAGGAAGGTTGGGTTGATGCAAAATAGAATACGTAACATATAAGTAGTAAGTAGTTACATCCAACTTAAGGTTAAGGCATGTCAGGTTCATGGTGGTTGAGATGAGGTTTAAAAATAACACTTAATAAACAGTAGGTTTAACATGAGTCAAATATTTAACCTGTCTACCTCTGATGCTCCAATAGACAGAGTAATCACACAATAATAGATTCAATAGACAGAGAGTAATCACACTATCGAGATGTATCAATGAGATAATCCCAAGGAGCTGTGATGAGGGTTCGAACCTATGCACTGGGTGTTTCCATGCACACGCTCTAGAAGAACAGGCCACGAAATGGTCAAAAGGATTGCAACTTGGGTACTACTGTACCCTAGATTCTAGGATTCCTATAGGGTGCAGGATTCGTACACACTGTGTGTGTATTGAAAAAGGAGCATCAGAGGTAGAACATTCCTAGATGGCAGAGCCAGAGTGCATGGGGGGGGGGGGGAGGGGGAATGAGTGAAACCCTGGTTTGGCTTTAGTGGAAGCCTCAGGAATACGAGAGGATATAGTAGTACCCTAGGTTGAAATCCTGTTGACAAGTTTTTGGACAAGAACCTTTCTGACATTCGTTTGACTAGATCTTTTTTGACATGGACTAGACATTTTGAGCGTGTGCCTGTGAACAATGCATAAATCCCATAAACCATTATCTTACCTCTCTGCTCACCATACCCACCATGCCAGACCAGGACCCGTCCTTCTTCTGTGAGCCCCATAAACCATCAGGAGGTCTCACATACGTGTACCTATTGAAAATTTCCTCGAGATTATTTTCTTTCCTATTATACTATTTTTTTTTTTTTTATCAAATTTGCTCTTTTTTTAGCGACAACGAAATTTCGTAATGTATTGTAACTAAATAAATATGGTCATACTAAGAGAAAATAAATTATGTTTAAAGTCTGTAACCGAAAATCTAAGCATTTTAGTGACTTTGCTAGAAAGCAAGAGCATCAATGTTAATTTCATTGAACATCAATTTTAAAATTATTGTTAGTATTATTATCCATGTTACTGTTATCAGTCTCCCCGTACTCACTAATATCTTTATCAATTGTATAAACTAAGCGGGTGTCGTAAGTCCTCCATTGGTGAGTTCACATATTTGCACCTGGTCACACCTACTCAACATGTGCTATTCCACGTGAGTAAATCTGTATGTAAAAGCCTTCCATACTGGATCCATAGTGTAAGTCAAAGCTAAGCATTCATGGTGTTGTCCATGTATCAACTAACACACTCTTGTCTTCTGTCCTTGTAGTGACAAAATTGACAGCAATGATGAAAATGACATGGAGTCACTCGCTATAAGTTCTGCAGGATATAATATTTAAATGCAACAATAGTTTATTTTTATAAAATATTGAGACTCAGGCTTATCATATTCAATGTAAAACATATATAAGCATAGAAATAAACAAAACATTTGTTGATATTATTGTGAGCGGTTTTTGGTTTCTATGGCACGTCCCACTAATCTTGTGGAAGCTTTTGACACGTGGCAACTTTAAATTAAATCTACTGATGTGTATTTGTGCCACTGCAATAGAGTAAAACTTTAGTAAATCTTGGGAAGCCATCAGTACTCACGTAACCTCCCTAAGGGTTAGGGGAGGTTAGGTGAGTAACTTGACCTTCCCTAACCCTAACCTAACTTCCCCGTGTTAAAACCTTCATGGGAAGGTTAGCCTCGCCTATTTCTGTCTCTCAAAGATAGACTTTTAATGTTTATTGGATGTTATTAGTGATAATTTGATTATTTGCGATTACCATTGTGTATGCCTCAATAGATGTGTGAAAAGCCTCAATAGATGTGTGAAGATTGGGGATGATATAAGCGATATAGCGATTATGAGCCGCTGCAGGTACATTTTTGGTGGTGAAAGGAATAGTTCCATGATGCCTGATCAGGCATCATTAGTCAACAATACAATTATTTATTTATGCACGCAAGCCAAGATAATAAATGCTATATTTTAGTACAGAATTTTACTATAGTCAATATTTTTTTTACTATAATTTCATATTATTAAACAATTTAATTGAAAAGAGGAATTTGCAACATATTTCTCAATAAAATCCAAATATTTTGTTCTAACTTTCACCACATCAAAGCATTCGACGTCGGCCTGGAATGTTGCAATGCCACTCTGAGGGCTGCTGTGTCACGTCTCACAATACAAGTGGCGTTAATTAATCCAAAAATCTTCATATTTTAAAGTCAGACGCTGTAGGAGATAGCTAGTCTTGTAAGATCGTTTACAATGTTATCTTTTGTAGCTCTAAAGAAACATGTCTTCTGTCTTGGTAATAGAGCCAATATTTTAACTGAGCTCTTCCTAACGTCATCCCTACTTGACAGTAGTCGTCAGGTTAATTGTTGTTTTTAATTAAACATTAATTTACATTGTGACTCTTACCTCACTTGGGGTATTTTGAGTGGTTAATGGAACTATCTCTCATATGTTACATTTTACAACATTTAACTAGTCACAGATCTATTTTCAAATTGAACATTTTAGAATTTCCTGTTAATGTGAAAGCTAAACTCTCACTACGTTTCATTTTGAAAGGCAAAATAAACTTCTTCAAAGAAAATTAATACGATTATTTCCTCGATATATTCTTTAAACTCTAATGAAAACTTTTGTTGATAAGAAGTATATTGTCGCCCCTTGCAGAAAAACAGCAAACTCACGTAAAATTTGTAGTGTCAGCGAGAAGTTGGAGAACGTTGGCAATGGCACTGAAGAACCGAAGTACTTTTCTTCCTGGCACCTTGGGGTCGTCCACCATCACTGCTTCGTGTGTGGGATAACTTTCACTGACAACCACAAGATTTGGTCTGTTTGAGAGCCTGAGAAACAGCACAGCCTCTTAGTCTATATTATTTCCATTATATTGAGCCCTTTAGATTTATTAAAAAAATCTATTTTGTGTTAAATGCAAAACTGATGCAACATCTCAAGGAAACATTGAACTTTTCATTTAGAACTAGTGAACAATTTTATAACTGCAATCCCTGATTAGATCGCTTACATAAGTTGAACGTAAATTAATACAAAAATTATAAACAATTCCTGAAAATAAATCTTAATCCTGGATATCCTAAAGCACTAAATCATATAAGATCACAAACAGTAATCTTTAACGTTGCACCATCCACATATAAATGATTTTTCTTAAATTAAATTTGCATAATTATATTAACATCAATGTTCATTCCTTTAACAGGAGAGCTCGATACAGTAATATATTACTTTTTAAAGATGTTGTGGAAAATTTACCAGTGGTACTTCTATTATTTATTTGTATATTAAATTTATTGTATTTGATTTACTATTAAATTATTTATTTAGAGAGCGGACTGTATAGATTAGACTTATCCCCCTTATATACCTCCTTCACATATTTGGGGGGGTAGTATGACCCCAGCAAACACAGACCGTTTTCTGATGTTTTTATTTGGTTCAGAAAGGTGACACTGAAACTAATTATATTAATCGTCTTTTTAAAAAAATACGTTAATTTCAGTTAATCAAATCGTAGCACATGACTGTGTGTAAGGGTGTATGACGGTATGTATGGGTGTATGACAGTGTGTATAACTGTATGATGGTGTGTAAGGGGATATGACGAAGAGTGTACTGGTGTATGATGATGAATAAGGGTGTATGACGGTGTGTATGACGGCGTGTCATTGTGTATGATTTTGTGTATGGGTCTATGATGGTGTGTATGGGTCTATGATGGTGTGTATGGCAGTGTGAATGGGTGTATGACGGTGTGCAAGAGTGTATGACAGTGTGTATGACAGTGTGTATGGGTATATGACATTGTGTATGGGTGTATGCCAGTGTGAATGGGTGTATGATGGTGTGTTAGGGGTGTATGGCGATGTGTATGGGTGTATGACGGTGTGTATGGGTGTATGAAGATGTGTGTGGATGTATAATGGTGTGTATGGGTGAATGACGGTGTGTATGGGTGTATGAAGGTGTGTATGAAGGTGTGTATGCCGGTGTATATGGGTGTATGGCGGTATGTATGGGTGTATGACGGAGTGTATGAGTGTATGATGGAGTGTATGGGTGTATAATGTGTGTATGGGTGTATGATGGTGTGTATGGGAGCATGACGGTGTGTATGGGAGCATGATGGTGTGTATGGGAGCATGACGGTGTGTATGGGAGCATGATGGTGTGTATGGGAGCATGACGGTGTGTATGGGAGCATGACGGTGTGTATGGGAGCATGACGGTGTGTATGGGAGCATGATGGTGTGTATGGGAGCATGACGATGTGTATGGGAGCATGACGGTGTGTATGGGAGCATGACGGTGTGTTGGAGCATGACGGTGTGTATGGGAGCATGACGGTGTGTATGGGAGCATGACGGTGTGTATGAGAGCATGACGGTGTGTATGGGAGCATGATGGTGTGTATGGGAGCATGACGGTGTGTATGGGAGCATGACGGTGTGTATGGGAGCATGACGGTGTGTATGGGAGCATGACGGTGTGTATGGGAGCATGACGGTGTGTATGGGAGCATGACGGTGTGTATGGGAGCATGACGGTGTGTATGGGAGCATGATGGTGTGTATGGGAGCATGACGGTGTGTATGGGAGCATGACGGTGTGTATGGGAGCATGACGGTGTGTATGGGAGCATGACGGTGTGTATGGGAGCATGACGGTGTGTATGGGTGCATGACGGTGTGTATGGGTGTATGACGGTGTGTATGGGAGCATGACGGTGTGTATGGGAGCATGACGGTGTGTATGGGTGTATGACGGTGTGTATGGGAGCATGACGGTGTGTATGGGTGTATGACGGTGTGTATGGGAGCATGACGGTGTGTATGGGAGCATGACGGTGTGTATGGGTGTATGACGGTGTGTATGGGAGCATGACGGTGTGTATGGGAGCATGACGGTGTGTATGGGTGTATGACGGTGTGTATGGGAGCATGACGGTGTGTATGGGTGTATGACGGTGTGTATGGGAGCATGACGGTGTGTATGGGAGCATGACGGTGTGTATGGGTGTATGACGGTGTGTATGGGAGCATGACGGTGTGTATGGGTGTATGACGGTGTGTATGGGAGCATGACGGTGTGTATGGGTGTATGACGGTGTGTATGGGAGCATGACGGTGTGTATGGGAGCATGACGGTGTGTATGGGAGCATGACGGTGTGTATGGGAGCATGACGGTGTGTATGGGTGTATGACGGTGTGTATGGGAGCATGACGGTGTGTATGGGTGTATGACGGTGTGTATGGGAGCATGACGGTGTGTATGAGAGCATGACGGTGTGTATGGGTGTATGACGGTGCATATTTGAGGGAAGACGCAGGGACAGGATGTTGTGGTTAATTGTACTAGGACTTGTGACCTGGGTCAGGATCTCTGATTTTCACTTTTATATTTTTTTTTTTTATTTATTAACTTATCACCTATCTGCCAAATAATTCTAAGATATTGAATAGTATTAATGTGACAATAATGATATGTATTATTTCCTTGAAATCAAACTTGTTGTTTAATCCTTAAACTGCGCAACACGTTATTCGACGTGATGAGTAATCAACACAAAAGTGTGTTTCTCGACATATGACGTTTTGGAGTACTACGCAAGATTTAAATGACCTGCAGATACATGGGGTCATATCACCTTACTCAGGGCGTTTGTGAACAGAAGTAATTTTTTGTTTAAATCGTGGTAAACATTCGCAGGTGTGAGAGCCTCGGTACTGAGTGTGCCACCTAAGCTGGCACATGCAGTATGAGCTCACAGCATTGCTGTTCGGCTTGTGGCCACAGCATTGCCTAAATATGTAAAAAGTATATGTAACTGGTATTATTTAGCGATGATAGTATTACAGAGGACCCCTGACTGTGATCAAAATGACCAGGATTCTGGTAATAGCAGGATTGTTGTGATAATTTGGGCTGTGCTGTAGGAGGAGTAATGATGAGGGAGGGAGGGCTGTAGCGTGCTGAATTAGTGTGGCCACCTGTTGCTGTCTGCACTTACTATACCAGCTTAGTGTTTCGCTATGGTGAGCACAACATGCAGATACTTATATATAACGTATGCATATAGTAAAGAAAAGCAAAAACAGTATGGTGGGAGGAGAACGTTGGCGAGTGAGGTAAGGTGAGGGAGGGTGTGGCGGCCAGTGGCTAGCTGGTGTGGCGGCCACTCCTTGATGCTTTTTGACACAGCACACCAAGTTTGTGGTTCATTATGGTGAACACAAATATAAATACTTATATATAGCATGTATAAATAGTGTAATAACAGCAAAAGAAGTGATGGGAGAAGCCATTTTGGTGAGGGAGGTGGCGACATCTGCATGACTTATGCTGTGTAATGGTGGCCACTGTGCTCTTTGGGCTCTATACCAGCTTAGTTGAACTGTTATGGTGAACAATACATGTAGATACTTATAAATATATATATATTGTGTGTGTATATAGTGTAATAACGCCACAAACAGCATACTTGAAGGGGGGCTATTAGTGCGTCTGGCCTTGAACCATAAGGGAGGGAGGGAGGGAGCATTAGTTGTGTGTGGCCACCTGTTACTTTATTTATATATATATATATATATATATATATATATATATATATATATATATATATATATATATATATGTGAACAAGCCTGAATGGTCCCCAGGACTATATGCGTCTGAAAAGGAAAAGTCTGAAAAGGTAGTTTTCAGACATATATATATATATATATATATATATATATATATATATATATATATATATATATATATATATATATATATATATATATATATATATATATATATATATATATACAAGAAGGTACATTGGGATTGTGTAGATACATAGCATAGTAATTACATTCTTGTAAAGCCACTTGTATGCGCAGCATTTCAGGCAGGAAAGTGTTACTGTCTGCCGTCACGATACAAGCTTAGTGGTTCACTATAGTGAACACAAATGTAGATATTTATATATAACGTGTATATATAGTGTAATAACAGCAAAAGGAGTGTTGGGAGAAAACATTTTGGTGAGGGAGGTGGCATCAACTTCCTGACTTGTCATGCTGTGTAAGGGGTGGCCACTATTCTCTTTGTGCACTATGCCAGCTTAGATGAACAGTTATGGTGAATAAAACATGAAGATACTTATATATAACGTCTGTATATAGTAAATTAATGCATAGACAGTATGGTGGGAGGAGGATGTTGACGAGTGAGGTGTTTTTGAGAGAGTGAGTGGCTGGCTGGCAGGTGTGTGGTGGCCACTCATCGTTGCTTTTTGACTGTATATGAACTTAATGGTTCGTTATGGTGAACAAAACATGAAGATACTTATATATAACCTGTGTATATAGTGTAATAACCGCAAAAGTATTTGTTTATTGTTTTATGAACATAATAATAGAATCTGTAATATAGACACCATAATTTTGAGTACAGCGGTGATTCACACATTTTATGATATAAATATATCACACTACACACTATTGAATAATATTACTGCAAAGAAACTAAGAAAAATCAATCAAAGACATTGAAATAATTAGGTAATAATATCTTTGTGGCAACTCTCGCCTGACAGCTGGGGCGAAGCAGACCTCGTCTGGCACTTGCTCTGTCAATGCCTCTTTTTTGGCCAGACTTCCCTCCCTATTTCTGCCAAAAGATGCCAATTACATTTTTTTTATAATTTTTCCGGTGATCAGGGAAAGCAAATCAACACTTATATAAAGACGAAATACTTTTTTCGCCTCTGGGTGTTGAAAGCCAAATTGCCCAGAGCAGCTTAGGGGTTAAGGATAATATAAAACAAATAATCTCAAA